AATGAAAAAACAGTGCAATTTTCCCACGATATTTTTTGAAGCCCCCTTGTATGTATCAAAATAAATTCATTCCAAAAGTCACCAACTATATGCAAACTCAATATTCAAGACCTGATATACCTAACATTTTACAATATAGTAGGTTAAACAGATGTAAGGAGATATGCTAATCACTATGACAGCAGAGACTTGGCTTCTACCTTGAAGAACAAAACTTTTTAATGAGGAAGCACCACTCTCTACCTGGGCATAAGCATTAGCAAAGTTTAACTCAAAACAATGTCAAAATTAAACAAGAAACAAAAAAATTTGACTACAGAACTATCAAAAATTCAATTTTTCTATCATTTTATGATTATCTGGATTTATGATGGTGAATTATTAAACAGAACCATCTGAACATTATGTTACATCTTAGAATTTTATACTTATTCTTTAATTTGAAAGTTTAAACTGCATTATGAACACTTCAGGGAAAGCTATCAGTTTTAAATTAGTTATTGCAAATTTCAAATGACCTTTAGCTTTTCATATTTGAAAAAAGTCATTATATGTTCAACAGTACCTTTAGAAATGATGAAATTATATATTACAGCCTGATATATGATAGCAGGATACAGCTATATCCTCTAGTCTTAATTATAGGAAAATGTAGAAAACTATAAGGCCTAGCTTTATTGTCTTATAAATGAACCAGCAAAGTTCACTTTATTGAAATGAGCACACGCTTTTCATAAATTAAAATAAATCTCATATGGTAAAGTACCCATTTTCAAAATTAATTTAATTACATGTTTAAAGTTTAATTACATTTAATTAAGCATTATGTTTAATATAAAATAAATGAATTATCAGTTAACTACTATGCAATGAATTACTGCCTTGATAATTAAAATCTATAAATTTTTTATTCTGTGTAAAACTGCTAGCTATCAAACAATATTCTAAAAACATTTCCTGAAGACTATAGGACCGCATGCGCGCAGCTGCTGGTCAGTGGGTAGCTTTGTGTGCTGTAGATTTACTGCTTCCCTGGAGCCACCACTGTGGGACAGAAAATCAGAGCCCAGGTCTGGAACCAAGGATTTGAGTCTCAGCATAGTCACTTAGTTAGATAGCACTTCTGATCACATGTGTCCTCAGCTATAAAAATGGGATATAAGAATCCTTCTCTCTGAAAGGTGGTTAGGAGCTTTTGGGAACTATCCTATGGTAGTGGGGATAGGTAGCCTGGGATAGTGATGGACATGGAATAGGCAGTCAGCAAATATGCATTCTCAACTGCTCTTAGATGGATAAATGAATAAAAACTTTGTATTTTCTGGCTTTAAAAAAGTTCCTTAATTTTCCCCCTTAATTAAAAAGTAATACGTTATTTTAATTTAATTACACTATAACTAATGCACATTTTTAATTTTCTCGAAGCATTTCCATGAACAGAGGCATTACAGAATATTTGCTAATACAGGTTTCTGAATGAGAAAAAATAAAAACAAAGTTTGAATCTGGGTTCTATCCATGATTTAAGAGATCGTAGAAAAGTTGTAATGCGTTTGGTTCACTGATTGACATAAATCAGGAACCAGTATAAATCAATGTAAATCATTCAAATGTCAAAATTTGAAATTAATACAACATAGAGTAGGTAGCATTCTCCTCTACTCCTATTTTTCATATGAAGTTATTAATTTCACTGAGTTTAAGGTATTTTTCCTAGGATAATACTAGCAAGATAAAATTAATATATAAGAAGCTAGAGTTTTTTCTTCCATTATCAGTTCTTTTTCCCCCACGACACACGGAGTGTTGAAGTTAAATGATTTTATGTCAACTAGACACTCCTGGCTAGGGGTGGAGTCAAGCCTGTCAATCAGGTCACAGCCTAATGCAGCGTCCTTGGGGGTTTGGCCTTTCCTTCAGGAGGACCCTGGACTCCCCCCACTGTCCTCTTCTATTGATTCTGAGAGCTGCCAGAGCCCTTCCATGTTTCCACTGACTTTGGATTCACATAACTACACCCATCAGCCTGTGACCTTCCTGCATTCTGCATCTTTGCATGTGGCTGAGTCTGAAGGGGGACCTATGGACTAGTATTGGTCTTATGGGCTTAAGTCAAACTGAGCTGAGACACTTTCTTGATATATAATTATTTCTGATATAAAGCTCTAATACATACAAAGGTATACTACCCCCATGACCCCCCCTCCCAAAATGGAAAAAAGCTCCACTGATGTGAGAGGGATAATGCATTTGGAGTTCGTTTTACCAGGTCAGACTGTTAATCAAGCTTTCTATTTAGAGGTTCTGAAAATGTTGCATAACAGTGTGTAACAATTTTGTGGCAGACAGTGGACTGGTTTTGCCACCATGACAATGCACCTGCTCATGCAGCCATTTCAGTGCATCAGTTTTTGGCAAAAAACAGCATGCCTCTCTTGCCCACACATTTTACTCACCTACCTCACTCCTTTCAACTTCTTTTTGTTCCCATGAATGAACAGGAACATGAAAGGACAGAGATTTGACAACGTAAAGAAAAAACAAGGGAAGTACTGTCAGCCATCCAAACAGATGAGTTTGAAATATTTTCCAAAAATGGAATTGCAGATATGACGAATATATTAAGTGTAATGTACAGTACTTTGAGGGTAATAAGGTTGTTTTATAAAAAAAAAAAAATTTAAGTAACTTTGAAAAAAATTTGTTTTTGGGGGGTACCTCCTCATACTTGAGTGTCACTGGACTTGTTACTCTAGTCAAGCTGGCCTAACACAGGGAGGTAAAGGTGAAGGCCGCACAATTAATGTGTCTGAAGCAATGAAGTGAAGAGAAAGCAAGATCTACCACTTACTTGTTGAATCTCTGATAAATTATTTCACTTTTGTGATTTTTGAGTGCTCTTTCCTCAAAAAGGGGAAAAAGGTGACGATGACCTAATCCATGGCTTACCTTCCCTTAATCCAATTGCAAAATGAATTGAAATGATTTTTAATACTTTATAAAGTATCAAATGTCTAGTCTTTACTGTAATCTTCAGAATTCTGTCTTAATAAAAGTTGTAGCAGTATAAGCCTAATAGCTTGGTTTAATAAGCCCTTATTGTAAATATCAAGTCCTAAAGTCTGTTAGGTATCTTAAAAATATATAGACTGTTTTATTTTAAACTATAACTAGAAATAGACAGCCTTAACAAATAAGATATGGTCAATATATAAAAAGCATATGGGTTGCTTCATGTCCATGATATGCTCTATGAAATAGGACATTTTGAATTTTGGTCTTATAAGAACACTATGCCATGCCCATATAATCCATAGTTAAATTTCCACAAAGTCTATTCAAACCTTATAAAAGCCAGCTGGACAAAGATGGTAAGCTCTAGTTACTATGTAGAGGAGGTTGGCTTTGCTGGGAATATGCTGGACTGGATGGGGGCTATGCCAACTGCTAGATAGGGACTTTGTGTATCTCAGGGCACAGGGCAAGGACCAATAAGGGGCACAGAGAGGTGGTCATTGAGACTGGGTATGCATGTGCTGGGGATGTAGATGGTGGTTGTGGTGGCCCTGGCTGCCTCCACCTTGTTGGTTTTGTTGCTAGCAGGTAAGATCCTAGATGCCCATCACTGTTTTAGCCAAAGGCTGATTTGAGAAATTCTAAGTTTATTTTTGCAAGGGATGCACAGAAGCAAATAGTGGGGCTTGCTACCTCCAAACTGCTTCAAAGATTCAGTGAAAATTAAATAAGTTATAAACTCTAAACTATGTGTCAAGTTCGAGGAAGTGATCCACAGATCTGTTACAATGAACGAAAGTCTTCAAGTAATGAGAGAAAGTAGGCATGAGTCACAGGGTACAGGGGGTATCTGTGGGCCTGTCATTCTTGTCCAGAAGGTTTTGTTTGCCCAAATTTGCTGAATTAGAACATTCTTAAGGATTCTCTTTCCCTTTATTTTTTACTGCAAGGGGTGGGGTGGGGGTGTTACATTTTGGTTTTAGCAAAATAAGTCTTAACTGACTAGGTCTCAAATGATGTCACATTTCCAATATTTGATTAACAGTGGGTTAGCTGATTTACCAGCTCGATCAGTCTGGCTGCTTTCTGATCATGAGCAGTTGCCACCATCCCTACCTTGGCTCTGTGCTAGGGGCCCATGAGTGCCCTAAGCTTTCTGGGGTTCACTGCCCTTTGCTGGGAATAGGAGGCAAAGGAATAGATGCTCCAGGGGGTGGGTTACACTTTGGAGCCCAGGGTTTACCCACTGCCATCATCATATCTAATTAATAGGAACCCTATCGAGGGTTTCCAAGGTCATGAATCTTTACAAGAAGCAGGTAGCCAACAAGAGTAGATACTTCCTCCTCTGGAGCATTTGGTGGATTTGAACCACTAATCTTGTGGCTTGCAGTCTAATATCCACCGGACAGTACCACCTGTGCCTAAAATCATTAGGGGTCAATAATAATTAAACAAAAACCACTCACCCCTAAAAACAAACAAACAAACAAACAAAAACACCTACAGGACCACAGCTGGGTATGTTGTCTGATGTTGTCCAAATGAGCTTTAAGTGATGTGTGCCTACCTACGTGTACTCGTTTACTTTCTGAGCGTATAGCTTTATTTTATATCACTGTCCTCTAGTATTACCAATAAGTATTTGCTAAGTATCTTTTTGCATTCACACCTGAGAACTCTGGCTCAGAACTTTTTCACATTTTTATGGCAATAAAGCCAGCAGGTATTATAAATGTGATATCAGGACCTTTCAAGTTCCAAATTAAATAAGCAAGCTCAACCACTAAATGCCTAGAAAGGGAAGAAAATGCATTCAATAAAATATTCTGGAACATACTATTAATGTCAACACTGTTGTTGACATTAACATTTATTATTAAGATATGTCCCCTTAGATAAACATTCTTTCAAAGAGAATGCTAAAAATGCAACCTGTTAACCTCGGAAGCCAGAATTTGCTGTTACAAGAGTCCTTGACTTACCAGGGTTCTGCTGGAAGAGATGATGATAACTTTTCTGGAAGAAAAAATCCATACCATTTTGAAGCTTCAATCAGTTCTTGGGGTATTCTTTTTGAAACATCATAATAGTGACCAAATCTTGAAGATGATACTGGCCCGGCCTATTAAGAAAACCCATACTGTTTTGTTTTTTTTAAGGTTATTTCTTTTCTTCACTATACTTTATTATCAAGCATCCATCAAAACATATATATATTTATTAATGCCAATACAAGTTGATATAAATACACATATTACATTTCAACATGTAATTAATAAGTTTTATTAATTTACATATAATATAATCTTTATTATTTTAAATTATCTACAATTTAGAAATCAAACTTTATATCCTATGAGTCTTCATTCCCAGGGGTTCCCACATTTAATAAAAATGGAAATATCTGTTCTTTTTAGTGCTACTGCATAGGTTACCAAATTCAAGTAAGTAATATACATATTTCTTAAGAGTGCAGGTTTTGATGATAAATTAAATATGCAGTTGCCAAGAACTGATAAAGAGTTAAGACAAAATAATTGACTGGTGTTGGCCCTCAAAGTAACTATATATTTAAATAAATTAAACTAAGCATCATTTTTTTTTCTAAGCATCATTTTAAAAATGCATTTTCACAAACCAGTATGCATTGTATATTCAAAATATATGACAAACTAAAAATTTAGCCCTGGTGGTGTAATGGCTACATGCTGCTAATTACAAGGTCAGCAGTTCAAAACCATCAGCCTGCTCCATGGGAGAAAGAGGAGGCTTTCAACTCCCGTGAAGAGTTACAGTCTCTGAAACCCATAGGGGCAGTCCTACCTTGTCCTATAGGTTTGCTATGAGTCAGAATAGACTTGATGACATTGAGAAAAATAACATACTGGGATAAAACAAATGGGAACAAGGCACATGATTAAGGACCTTGTACATAAGCCAACTAGATAAATCCGAAATTTGATATAATCTTGATATCATTGATGGTTTCATGTTTTGTTCTTTCTAAATATTTCTTCAAAAATTACTTTTCTCATAATTATAACATTATTGATGCTAAATTATTTACATATGATGAAGTCTGGTAACATATCTTATTATTATATTACTTTGAATGGGTGCTGGGCTAATTCCTTTCCCTCAGCACATTAGAAATATGTAAATACTTCAACCCAAAGTTGAATTACTAAGAAATTGTAGCTGGAAATTTGCTCTGACCAGATCAATCCTAAATCTCTAGGAAAAGTCTTGATCCAGATTTTGTTACTGTCAACATGTCTACTGTTTTCAATGTTACATAACAGACGCATTTTAGAACACGCAAAACAATTTTAGTTAATCTCTGTAAAAATTGAAGAATTATACACAGAAGTGTCTTAATTTATTTTACCAAGTGACTAAGAATTTTTTAATTGAGTTAAGACATTTACTTGATGTAGATATTTGCATTTAAGACCTCAAGGATTCATATTCTTGAATTACATGACAACAAACAGTAAATGACACAGTAACACAGAATAAACATTGTAAAATATCTAGGAGAAACAACATCAGATTTAGTCTGTGGGTCCGACACGTATTTTCAAAATAAAATGAGTGCTCTCCCTAAAAAGATGCTTCTAAAAAATTAGGTATAAAGTTTTAAAATGCAAAGTTATTAGTCTACAGCAATTTAAACAAGGCCTGTTCTTTGGCCTATAATCTATTCTTTATCCTGATTATAGTTCAGAATGTTTTTACTGCAATCTCTGCTAGAGCTCATCTTTTTATTGTGTAAGTCCAAGCCCCCTTAATGTTTTAGAAAGGCCTTGACTAACTGAACTTTGATCTGATGTCTTCATTGAGAAAAACACCAGGTTGCCCATTTCAGATGCAAATCCCCCTAAGGCCCAATAGAATCAAGTAAAGACAGCAAAAAAAGAAGAAACAAGAAGTTTCCAGGATCCTCTTTGAGAATCCTGGGGCACACTGGTGTCCTTAATCCACACTGCTGCATGGATTAAGGTAGGTGATAACCTTTCTAATTCAAAAGAATAAACAGAGTGCCTACAAACTGGGTGGAGACTAGGATTTGGTGATAATAAAACACCATGCAATAAAAGCTTGGTCTGTGTCAGAAACCTCTGAAAGGGCCTCAATGTACCACATTCCCAGGCCTAGTAGGGAAGCTTGCAAAAGCCTACCTGAATCAAATAAGCATGAATAATCTATTTTAGCAGACTGGCCATGGAGAGGGAAAAAGAAAGCGAGACTTTTGATTTCTTTTAAGTTTGAGTTAATAAATTTAATAGTGGACTGGAGGTTCTTGAAGTCCTATGCACTCAGATACATGCTAAATTGCTAAGAAGCAAAGTATGCTTTTTAAGTTGCTGGTCTCTATTACTATATCTAATTATAATATTAATGTGATAGAAATCTTAGATTTGGGATTACTCAAGGCATAAAATTGATTTCATACTGTGAGAATTTACAGACAGAACACAAATAATTCATTTAAATGTAAAAATAAAATTGGAAACACTTGTCATTACAATTAAGCTATTAATTATTTAGACCTGAATTAAATCTGGCAACTAAAATATTTACAAAGTGAACACTGAGAATTTATTGATGGGAAAAACTTCAATCTTTCAATAAGAAATGAATATGAAAAATAAATATATTCTTATAGGAAATAAAATTACATTTTTTCCCCCTAAGACACATAGCAAGAACATAGTATCTGATATTTGAACTGCTAAGAAATTTTTGGGGTTTAAAACAAAGACCTGAAACTATATCCTCTTTAAAAGAAAAACTGAAAACTGCATCTAGTATACGTAATCTAATGTGTGATCTATTAATGCATCTATTTTGACATTAAGAAATAGTCATTTAAAACAATCTGTCACCAGGTACCAGTCTGAAAACCTTATGAATAGGAAGAATATTGTTTGCTAAATCATTAAGAATGTTCACCATAAGTACTATAATTTTTTTTAACTTTCTGGTGAATTAGGAGAGTTTTGCAGAGCAGATGATCAGTTTTACATTCAAGAATTCACACATTTTGTTTCATCTCATTCATGTCAATCCTTCCAAAGTACCACCACCCTTCCTTCTTCCTTCCTGTTTCCTGTGTGTATTCCTTCTTCTTTCCCAGCTCTCTGAACTATGTCCTTAGGTAAATGCTACCCTTTTCCCCCCTTAAATGCTTGATTATTCTACAGAGGATGAGACCCTAAGAATAAGGGCAATAGTCTTGGGAGCTCTACCAATCTTATCTACATGAGATCACATTGGAAAAAGATGAGAAGGTTGCAGGCCATAAAGCCAACTGTTGTGAATAAATATGTGTAGAGAGAGCAAGAATGAATACAACATGAGGAATGTAACCAGTGCTATTGAAATGCACACATAGAGATTGTTGAGCAGTGAATGGTCTGTTGTGTATATCTTCACCAAATATGAAAAAAAAATGTCAACATAAAAAAAAAAGGACTCCCATGTAGCGGCCCAAACCCCAATTCTGCCACTCTAGAAATGGAGAGCCAGAGCCCTGTGAACTGCAGCGTGCTGAGAAGCCCCGGCATGTTGATGACCGGAAAAAAAAAAAAAAGGTCAACATATCTAAAGGAACTCTTCCATATATTCTCATGTTCTATATGCCTGCAAAGTTGATAATGCACTTTAGAACTTTGTGTAAAAGTATCTGCATGTTACAATTATTTTACTACCTAGATTGGTTCTGAGATTTCCTAAAGTCTTTATCACTAACACAGCTCATGGGTTTGAGTGGATAGATTTTCTGATATCTGTTTCTGTTTTGTTATCTTAGACAGTTTTTTTTTTACTTCCTAGCTTCTGTCTGTTCTAGATAGGTGAGGTTACTAGATAGCTGAGTTTGAAAACAATTACCTTAATTAGTAACCTCCAATCTGGTTTTTAATCCCATATAGGGTTTGAGTTAGTTAATTGTGCCAGCCTGGCCGATAATCACATGTGGGGCTAATTGAAAGGCGGAGGGATAAATG